CAATTTACATTCCTACCAGCAGTAAAGGTGATAGCCATTCTGAGTAGGGGAAGACGGAACCTCAATGTACAAATGTTAATATTTTTTTCTTTTTGGTACTGGGAATCAAACTCACGACCTTGTGCTTGCCAGGCAGGCACTTGTGTCACTGAGCTATATCCCCGGTGGAATTTCAATGTACTTAAAAATTGTTTTCAGTATAGTTTTCCCTTTTTTTAAGACAGGATCTTGCTATGTAGCCCAGGTTGCCCTTGAACTCACTATGTAGCCCAGAATGGCTTCAAACTCCTGCCAATCCTTTTGTCTCGGCCTCCCAAGTGCTGTGATCACAGGTATGGGACAACATGACTGTCTAAGATGTGGTTTTTTGTTTTGTTTTGAGTCAGGGTCTCCCAGTGTAGTGCAAAATGGTCTTAAATTGACTTATGTAGCCCAGGTTTGCCTCAACTCGCAGTGATTCTCCTGCCTCAGCCTTCTGAGTGCTGGGATTACAGGCGTGTATCACCACCCTGTACCCTCTTTTAAACAGGTGAGGAAACCCAGGGCTTTGGCATAATAGGTTAAGTACTCTATGGCTGGCTACTGAATGCTTCTTTGTTGTTGGTGGTGTTTGCTGGTGTTGGCTGCACTAGGGATCAAGCCCCAGGACCTTTGCAATGAGTTACAACCTCTAGTCTTTTTTTTTTTTTTAGTCCTTTTCATTTTTTAATTTTGAAATAGGTCTCAGTAGGTCACCAAATTGATTCAATTTGGGGTCCTCCTGCATCAGCTTCACCGAGTGCTGGGATTATAGGCTTATTATTATAGACAGCACAACTGGGGCAGATGGACCACTCCATGCCATTTACCAGACCGGGCAATGCCTGAAGGCCAACCTCCAACCATTGACCTAAGGCCCATCCAGAGGCAGAGATAAAACACAGCATGCCAGATTCTCTTGCATGACCTACACTAACCTTCCTTCCCTAGAGCTCATTGAAGGCTCTTATGCATATGAACAGCGTCTCATACATCTAATTATAGCAGAGTGAATCATGGGAAAAGATCTTTGAGGGAGACACGGCTGATAGGACTCTGTACCTTGTCAGTCATGCCCCAGAAGACCCAATGAGGGGATCCCATGCTCTCAAGCACTTGTGTAATTGCTTGTGTAATTTTTTCCGGTCTAAGCCCACCTTCTCCACACCCTTGAGTTTATCTTAGTATTCTTCCTCCGCCACCTTTGTACCAGGAATTGAACTCAGGATCTTGCACTTGCTAGGCAGTTAATGTGCTACTGAGCTATATCCCCAACCCACTCTGAGTGTATCTTTACTTGATTAAAACTTCACTTTTTCCTTATCTTCATGCATGAGAACTAGAAACCTAGACCCATACCCTATCACCCATGTAACACTTTCACAATACATGAAGAATAGTGCTTGACTGTGTTGTATAAATACTACATACCAGCTTTCATTATTATTATTGTTTTGTCTTTTGAGACAGGATCTCACTCTAGTCCAGGCTGGCCTTGAACTTGCAGTGATACTCCTGCCTCAGCTTCCCAAGTACTGGGATTACAAGGATGTATCACCACGCCTGGCTTCAGGTTTCATTATTATTAGCAATTACCATAGAAAAAAGCAAAAAGACAAATCACCCCCAAATCGGCTAAAAGTCCAATATTGAGAAAATTTTCTACTAACAGCATGGTTTATATTTATTTTAGACTTTTCAGTCAAGGCACAAGTACTGATTGAATAAAAAATGAGCAGCAAGCATAGGATTTACCACTGTCAGGGCTTATATCTACCTGGATCCCAAACCCTCATATGCTCATAGGTGTGGCTTTTGGGAGGGGACTGGATTGTGGGTGTGATACTGGATTAGTTCATTTGATAGGTTTACAGCTGGGTGTGATGTTGGGAGCCGAAGTGTGGTGGGAGGAGGTGTTTGGTGTGGGCATGGCCTGTGTGTATATATATAAAATCTCTCCTGGTTTGAGTGCTGCTTGCTTCTGCCATACCACCCTCCCTTGGAGGGAGCCAGCTGACTATGTACTGAACCTCTACAAGCTGTGAGGCAAAAATAAATCTCTCCTAAATAAACACCTCTTCGTTTAACTTGTGGGTGTCAAGTATTTTGTCCCAGCAACAAGAAAATAAGCCATTTTGCCCAGCTAGAAAGACTTATTTTTTTGGTCTTTTTGAGATAGGGTCTCGCTATGCAGTTGAGGCTGGCCTTGAGCTCACTTTGTAGCCCAGGCTGATCTTGAACTTGCAGTGATTCTCCTGCCTCAGCCTTCTGAGTGCTGGGATTACAGGCGTGAGCCACCACGCCCAGCTCAGAAAGATATATTTTAAGCCATCTGAGGTGCTGGCAACTGAACCCAGAGTCTTTGCACTAAGCAACATCCTCAGTCTTTTAAGGCAGAGTTTTGCTAAGTTCCTCAGGCTGGGCTTGAACTTGCAGTCTTCCTGCCTCAACCTCCCAGATTGCTGTGATTGTAGGTGTGCACCACCCAATTCAGGAAAGGGTAATTTTTGTTAGCATCAGATAATTGATATACTGCTTAGATACCTCTCAAAATTCTGCCTTGCCCATTCATGGTGCCAAGATTCTCCTAGGCTCAGAATTTCTCATCTTTACCAATATTCCATAAAACTGACTAGCTGTTCTGACCTTTGATGCCTAAGATGTGCACCTGTTACTTTTAACTTTAATCTTTTTTTTTTTTTTTTGTCTTTTTCCTTTTTTATCGGTACCAGGGATCTAACTCACGACTGCCTGCTTGCAAGGCAGGTGCTTATGCAGCTGAGGTAAACCTCCAGCCCCATCTTTAATCTTTTAATCCAGTGGTCCCCAACTTTTATGGCACCAGGGACCGGTTTCATGGAAGAGAATTTTTCTGGCTTCAGGATTAGACTTTCCCAAGGAGCAGGCCCCCTAGATCCTGCACATGTGCAGTTCACAATGAGAAGCTTGCTCTGAGAATCTGGTGCACAGCTCCAGTGACAGCGCCAGAGATGGAGTCAGCTATAAATATAGACAGAAGTGGGTTGGGCAACAGCCCTAAGCTCACCTCCTGCCCAATGGCCCCAGTGCTAGCCAGGGGGTGGGGACCCTTTTTGATTAAATTAATTTTGGTGTATGAACTCTGAGCTCTCATGAAGGCAACTGCTTTTCTTGTCCTTACCCATGCCATTGTGGTGCCCGGCCCCATCACCTAGGACATTCTCTACAGAGGGATTAGCAGGCAGCGTGTAAGTGGTTAGATTGTTAGGATGATTCTCCTAAGCTCTGTGTGGTGGGGCATTCCAGGAAAGCTCAAGTTCGAGCCCAGCTTGTGCAACTTAGTAGGATATGGTCTCAAAATAAAAAGGGATGGGGACCTAGAAAGTAGAAAGGGGCTGGGGAGAGCAGAGGTCTGGAGCGGGAGAGCACAGAAATAGAAAAGTCAAGTCAGCCAGTCAGTCGTGGTAGTCTGGGCCTCATTATACATGGAACCCTAATCATCTATCAGATTGCAGGATCAAAAACTGAGCACTATTGGGCATGGTGGCACATGGTTGTAATCCCAACACTTGGGTGACTGAGGCAGGAAGAGGAGGAACATGTGGAGTTCCAGGCCAGCCTGAATTACTGTAAACAGCAGGCTGTCTCAAAAACCAAACAAACAAAAATAGGTATGGTGGTACTTGCCTATATTCCCAGCTCTTGGGAAACTGAGGCAGGAGGATCACTGCAAATTTGAGGCCAGCCTGGGCTACATATTGAGCTCAAAGTTACCCTGAATTATATAGCAAAACTCTTAAAGTCTCAAAAAACAAACCAAACAAAAAACACTGACCTCTAATTTCCCAGTTTACCACCCCTTCCTCATGCCTTGACAGCCTGGAGTTCTTGCTTGATGAATGAGAAACCAATTGCACTTGCGTGAGCCTAGGGACATGTGTGGGACCTCCCTCCCATTCTCCCATTTTACTCGGGAGCTTTTTTTTTTTAAAAAGACAGGGTTCTTGCTATGTAGTTTCAGCTGGCCTTGAATTCACTATGTCATGAAGGCTGCTCTTGAACTTGAGGCCATCCTCCTGCCTCAGCTTCCCAAGTTGCTGTGAGTGCTGTGGTTACAGGCATGCACCACGCCCAACTTGGAATGATTCTTTTACTGACCCTGGAAACAGAGTGGCTGGGAAATCTTGGGGTCATTAACTGGAGGCAGCTTCTGGAAAAGAAGCTAAATTCCAAAGGAAAAACTGGGCTATGGACAGAGCTGGAGACACACTGAGAACACATGGACTACTCCCTTCTACATTTGGGAATGGTGGGGAAGAGGGAGTTTATTAGATGCAACAGGCTCAACAAGCTTGTCTAGGACAAAGCTAAAACACCAAGGGTGGCAATTGCTACAGTGGGGCTCATTAAAACCATTAAGTCTCTCCTGGTTCTCAAGACAATAAACTAGTCCCACCCACTTTTAACAGACCCTCACACCCAAGCTTGTGACTCCAGGGCTCACACTGCATAGCAATCCTGGGTCTTGGCTGACCAAGCTTCTTGGGAGTTCTGAGACTGAGGACAGGAGTCCAACAACTCCATAGTTTGCACATGCCTGTGTGGTGCTGGGGGTGCAGCACCTCAGGGCCTTGGACATGCCAGGCAAGCGCTCTACCACTGAGCTACAGTCCCAGCCCTCTGTGGATTTAATGCGAAAATTCAAATTCATTATCCACTCCTACCCTTCTGCCTCCTTGAGGTGGAAGGAAATAGAGCAGGGGTAATGCCAGCTATTGGCATGTTCAGTGCCAATCACACATCAGTGTTCAGTGACTGTCCTTTCCTTCTGACCACACACTGCAATAAGGAGTGTCTGTCCATAGCCTCAGAGTCAGCATCTAGGCTTCAGACTCTGTCAACAGAATCTGCTTTTCTTCACCTGTCAGCACTGTGATTTAGAGTGGCCTGGGATGAGTCATCTTTCCATCAACATACGGACAAAATACTCAGTGTCAAGTATGTTTGTAGATAGATCTATAGATTTATTTGCATCATGTTATATATAGATATATGTATATACCTTTTTCTTTTTCTTAAATACAATCTATATTCCCTTCCCCTCCACCAAATCCACAAGAGGGTATAAACCCTTCCAGGGTGGACAATGGGCTTCGCAAGATGGTCAGAGCCAAGAATCAACTGTCAATACCCTAAGAAATAGCTGTCCTTCTTGGCTCTGGGGTCCTGAGGCAGCAATGTTCCCAGGACTCAAGGGGAGGAAACAGGAAACAACTGTAGTGTGATGGGATTCTGGGGTCAAAGTTCCCAGTGACCCCAATAAAGGCAGACTGGTTCCCAGGATCCTCAGGGTGGGAATAAAAGTGCTGCCCAAGAGGCACAGGTAGGGAGCAGGAATTGAGGGTGAGGCATGCAGGGATGGGGGCAGGAGTATACCTATGGGTTATGCTAGAGACACTGGAACCCCCATCAGAACTGCATACCTACCAAGTGACAGAAGTCATGGAGAAGGACAGAGGCTGAGCTCTTAGAAACAGCAGGGAGATGGGGCAATGGGACACAGAAGGAAGTAACACGAAACAAAAAGTACCAACAAAAATGACCTGTACTAGATGGCTCTCTAGCAAGGCTATGACCTATGCTTGCAGGTGCAGAAGGAGGAAGGTCATGAACTAGTATCAGCTGGCCAGGGGCACAGGAAGGCTCTGAGGACTCCTAATGAGGCAGGTGGCTGGGATTCCACATCTCCAGGGAAGGAAGAACAGTCCCTTCAGTTTGACTTGGACCAGATTTTGGCGCTCCCTCGGAGCCTGGCAAAGGGGTAGAGCAGGGAGAGAGAGAGAGAAGATGCAGGGGATCCCCTAGCCTCTGGAAGCTCCCCAACTTGCTATTCCAACCAAAGGACTAAAGGGAGTGGAGCAGCCAGGTCGCTGCAGTAAAATCAGGGTATCACGAAGCTCACCCCTTGCCCTTCGAGGCTTTCTTGCTGGGCTGGCGCTGGTTGGTGCCAGAAGCAGGTTCCCTCAGCTCAGTCAGGTGTTGCTCAGGGTCCTGAGATGTGGCTGCAGCTGCCGCTGCCGTTGTGACTTTAATAGTTTTTTTAAGGTTGGCAACCTGCCAGGAGGAAGGGACTAGGAGATGCTGGGAAAGCTTTTGTCACCCCCCCCCCCGTCCCTCCTGTCTGCCTGCTACAGCCACATCCAAAACTCTCTGCACAGGACACGTGCCAGCACGGGGCTCACCTCACTCTCTATCTGCTGCTTCAGGCCCAGCTGCTGCTCCTTGTGCTGGTTGGCACGGCTCACTTGCTCCTCGATGCCTGATAGCACAACTTCACAGCCTACACACCTGCAAGGTCAGTGCAAGAGGGCAGGGATCAGACCTACAGAAAACAGACTGGAAGAGAACCCTCACAGCTGGTGAGCCACTGTCTGAGGTGGAACCCCACAAGTGGGGATGTGTGTGTGTGTGTACACAGACGTCTGGACACCAGCCACAGCCATTCCCCAGCGGCAAGGCAGATCCAAAGGGAAAGACAGGAGAGGAAGTGCCTGGGGTGACAGTCCAAGACAGGAGCGGAAAGTGGAAGCAAAATAGGGTGGGGGGCACTGGAGGCCAAGCAGTGAATTATGACTGAAGAAACAATGAGGCACACATTCGGTGCTCAATCCCTATGCTGCAAAAAACACCACAACAACAAAGACGGGACACAAAGAAAAAGAACAGGAAGAGCCATGCAGCTAATGGACAATGGTGTTACAAACCAAGGGACTGAGGCTAGCCTGTGACAGATGACGAACCTCCCACTGAAGATCCCTTAAAGAAAGCTGGGTGTGGTGCCCATGCCTATAATCCCAGCACTCAGCAGGCTGAGGCAGGAGGATCACCATGAGTTCTAGGCTAGCCTGGGATAACAAGTTCATGGCTAGCCTGTATTACATGGTGATACCCTGTCTCAAAATACCAAAAGAGCCGGGGATTTAGCTTAGTGGCACAGCACCTGCATGGCAAGTATGAGGTCCTGAGTCTGATTTCTGGTACTGCACCCCCAAAAGAAAATCAAAATAAGAAAAATTTCCTCAAACACACCCTCCCCCTTTCTCCTTCCCAAATTATTGCTTCCAGGGCACTGCCCCCCACCCAGGGTCCTTGTAAGAAAGAGCTCACTTCCACCTTTCCCTGGGGCTCTACCTCTAGGCCCAGCCCTCTCAGACCCAGAAGCACCACACCCTGTGTGGGGGAGGGGACAGGTCCAAAACCTAGGCCTCACCACTCCTGCAGGGTACGTGCAATGGCGCTGAGGTCCTGGCGCTGGATGTCCCTGCCAATGCTGTAGTCGACTTCCAGCCGCTGATTGCGCTGGTCCAGGGAGCCTCGAAGCACATCAGCATACACGGCCTCAATAACAAGGTCTTCCAGCTGCCGCACATTGCGCAGAGCCAGGGCTTCCAGCAGCACTGCATAGGGGATACACTGGGACAGGGAGTGAGGCTGGGGTTTGTGGGGTTCCTAGGCTGAGAAGAGCTTTCCCGAATCGCCCTCCCTCCCTGCTCCCTTGCCCAGGCCCCACAGGCTGCCTCTTCTGGTCCCAAATCCTTTGCTCTGTGAGGCTGGGCTAAGGCAAAATAAACAGAAGTACCCCACCTCAGAAACAACACCATGAGAAGGATGGTACTAATAAAATACAAGGCCAATTCTCCCCCCTTACCCATAAACCCCCGCTAACCCATATCCCTTGGCCACCATCAGGCCGGAAGGGCCAGGAAGATTGGGAGGTGCCATCTACACCCCACCTCCTTCTAGCCTGGCACTCCTGTTGATGCAGCCATGACAGACAATGGCCTGATTTCAGTAAAATCATGAAAATGACTCAACAGCCCCGTAACAACTGGGTAAGGGAGGGGGTCTTGGGACAGAATCAACAAAACACAAGAATACAGAGGTGCTTCTGGCTTCTATGGTGCTAATTCAAACACAGAGAAACCACACTCCTTCAGGAGAGAACCCTGCTCCCAGCCTGGAGGCTCTGTTGGCATGGAACTAGCTACACTGCAGGGCGGCAGGCAGTTGTTCATGGCACTTGATCAGCATCCCAGTTGCTATTTTGATCAAAAACACAAAGATGTTTACTTAGATCTTAAGTTGAAACACAAAATAGTGGAAACTAAGAATATTTGGCCTAAATAGCTGCTGTAATGGAGCTGAGACAAGCCTTGGTGGAGAGGAGGCATAGAGAAGCAGCCACTGGCTAAGGGCTGCCTGGTACAAACTTCTGGGGACACACAAAAGGATGCAGTCAGCCTTTTGGGCTTTGGACAGGGTCAACTGTCACTCACCTTGACCTTGGCAGCTAGGGTGACGACTGAGAGGTGTCGAAGCTTGTTCTTCTGAGCTTCTGTGAGTGGGGGAAGATTCCTGGCTTCAGCTAAGGAAAAACACAAAGTGTAGGGAATCTGACTTTTAGTTTTGTGGGAAACTCTAGCTTCCTTCAGCTGCATTTGCTTTTCCATGTCACAGCAGGTCATGACCCTATATATCCAGGGCATCTGAGTGTGGTATTAAAAGAACTTGTTTTTTTGTGGCACTGGGAATTGAAACAAGGGCCTTCACAGTGAGCTACATTCTCAGGCTCAGCCCTTGTTTTAAATTTTGAGACAGGGTCTCACCAAGTTTGACAGGTTGGGTTGGAATTTGGGATCCTTTTATCTTAGTTTCCCACAGTGCTGGGATCAAAAGTGTGCACCACAAGACAGGGCTCCCAGGAATGCTTTCCCTCCAGAAACTGCCCTTCTCCCATCTCCACTGCTCCAAAGCGTGAGCTGCTCTGGTTACCTAAGTAGTCAGCGTATGTTCCATAAGCGAAGACTGTGAGCAGTCGAAATGTGGACGCAAAGTCACTCTCAGCCAGCTGCAAGATATGAGCAAAGAGAATTGACAGGAAGGGCCGCCCTTGCCACCCTCCCAGCCTACTCTATCAGCTCCCCATATTTCCTAGCCCACGTCAGCTCTCCGGGCTCGCCAAGACGTATGCTTTGCCTCTCATACTCTCCCTACTGGAAGAGCTCATTTCCACCCCCAAGCCTTTGCTATAGTCAGCTCCCAATCCACAAACCCTTCTCCCTGCCACCTACCATCCAATCTCTACCAATCCAACTCAAGGTTGAGAGTACTGCGTTCAGAGTCTGCCAGACACACACACCACACATTGCAAACTGCTGTTTGGCTGAGCGCATTACTTCCCAATCTGAATCTGTGGTACTTCCTATTTCACCACACTACTGTCTCGGTCTTGGCCTAGACATAACTAGGTGGATGCACTCTGCTGTTGGCCCATCTCACCAAGGGGTGGTCTGGTTCACCTGGGGCAGCCCACCAGGACCTCCTCTCCTCCTACTATGGATCACTCATTCTGGTGCTTAATTTCTACAGAGGGTTCTTTAACCAGGAATGTCTTTCCCTTCTGTAAGATAACCTGTGGCATCCCACTAAGACCCAGAAGAGCTACACATGTAGTTGGTTCTCACAGTAGATACCCATTAAATAAATGACTTATAAATGTATACCCATTATTACTTCTATGACTACAATGTAAGCTGCAGAAGAATATGTCCTATGTCTTGCACTTTGCTGTTATCCCCAGACCACGGGCAGAGTAGTAAACAAGCACCATGAGGAAGTGCTTCTTAAACCAAGTGTAGTGAGAAGTACAGCTGTAATTCTAACCTCTTGGGAGGCTGAGGCAGGAGATCAGGCGTTTAAGCTAGAGGAAGTGTTTCTTTTTCTTCACCTTCATTGACTTTCTTTAGTTCCATTACAGAAGAAAGAAGGGATAAGATGGTCACAGTATTGTCCATACAGAGTGACACAAAAAGCTAAAATCAATGATTCAATCACAGGCTCTCAAAACCTTGGCTCACATTTTAGCCATATACAATAGTCATGGTTGTTTCATGACAGGATGGTGCCATTTTTTTGTTGTTGTCTTCTTGGGACAGAGTTTCACTATGCAGTTCAGCCAGGTGCCAAACTCCCAATGATCGTCCTGCCTTAGTCTCCAAGTGCTGGGATTACAGGCATGTGCCACCTCTATTGGCACCACAAGTCTTAATGACCCACCTGCTTTATGCTTTCCACTGTCGTATCTGTGTGAACCGCTCTGTTGTGTTTCTAGTAGCTTACTACATCTCTTTGGGAAAAAGATAACTTTTCTCTATTTTAAATTAATAGTTTTATGGTGCTCAAAAGAAAAGCATAGTGATGCTAATTTAACACGTTTCTTCTTCACTTGTACCAAACTTTATATGTTCCCATACTCTTAACTGATTCCTACAGTGTGGGGGCAGTAACTTTTTTTTTTTTTTTCTTTTTGCAGTGCTGCAGTTTCAAAACTAGAACCTCAAGCATGGCAAATAAGCATTATCACTGAGCTACACACTGAGCCTTTATCTTTTTTGTTTTGTTTTCCTTTAATCTTTTTACTTCCATTTTTAAGAGACAACTAAGACCCTAAAATAAAGGCATCCTGATTATTACGAGGTCTCACTGTTGGAGACAGGTTAGAATTCTGGTTGCCTGTTTTGAATGACACGGATTTTACTTAAAAGTACTAGGCTTCACTTTCTTGCTTACAATTCCAAGTTACCAGTTAATCATTACAACAGCCTTTACTCAATGTCCTTGCAAAATGAGTCCTCCCCACCCACTCTCAAACAGAAACTTTTGCCCGGCGCTTCCCTGTGGGCTTCCAGGACCAGCAACCCACCTCTCTAACATTGGGCATATCCAGCAGTTCCCCAAACACGTAGACACCAGGAGCCTCCAGCACCTGGTGAATGAGTGTGGCCAGCGCCGCCCCCTTGGCCGACTTGGCCAGGAGCAGAAACTGCTCCTGGTTCTGCCCTGTCACCTTCACCTCCGCACTCATGGCTGCACTGAGACGGGGGACCTGGGCTCAGGTTGACTGGAGCTGTAAGAAAGAGGATGTGAAGCCGGAAATCCCTGAACACTGGTAGGTCGGGAAGGCCAAGGGCAAAGGGCTGGGCTGTGGATGTACTTCTGCAGTGAGGTCAGACACCGAGTGGTCTACAACACGGGATCTAAGAATCGCCAAGTCAGCCACTTCACAGCTGCCACGCCCACCCTCAGCCCTCACCCTAGGACCTAATCCCAAACCCCACCACGTGCACCCGTTAAACTCAAGGCGTAGGGCGCAGCTAGGGAATCGGTGTCATAACCAACCACGACGCACCCTCAGCTGCCACCCGTCTCCCGCACGTGCCCTAACCACGTGACCTCACCCCCAGGCTCCTTGCACGTGGCTCCGCCTCCTCCCTTAAAGAGGCCGCCCAGAGATCCTCGGCTCCCGCCGAGGGCCCCGCAGTACCTTGGGCCAGACTCTGCGGACCGCTACCTGGAAGCTTCTTTTTCCAGGGTATCGGGCGGGGCGGCCGTTCCGTCACCTCCGGCAGCTGTTCCGAGCCTTTCCTGCCGCCTCCCTACAGGGTCGCTCTAGGCACAAATCTCGATGGCTGGCTTCCGGACGCACTTACGCTCTTACGAAGCATCCGGGACGTACGCGGCTTCCGCCTTCCGACCTCTGAGGCTGGGGGGTGGGGGGTGGCGGCGGCATACGCGTTCAACTTTCTGGATTGGCTGCTGAGAAAATAATGTCTGGAACATTATTTTCCCCGGCTTTGTTACAATAAAACTTTATTAGTATGCTGCTCTGCGGGCGTTCAGGGTGTTTTTGGCGGCTTCGCTCTACCGAAGATGTGGAGATGAGGGCGGCGCGGGCTAAGACCGTAGGAAAGCTGTAGGGGAAGGAGAGAGAAAGCAGGAAAAAAATGAGAAGAGGATGAGGAGAGAGGAAGGAAACAATGATCAGTAGTAGAGGGTTAGCGGGGGAGAGTTCAGCCACTCACCTTTTTGAGGAGGAGAAAAGTTTGAACAATAAAAGAAATAGTATCTAGCAGGTATGGCGTGCTTACTGTGGATGGGACACGATTTTATCCCGTTGAATCCTCAGAATCGTGCTCCTCAGAATCCTCAGCATGAGTCCGGGACATCCTTGGACACTGCGGTAAACACTTGTACTGTTTGAATTCATGCTTCCTGTAACCTGTCTACTCCTGAGGAAGAAGAGACCCTAAAGGGAGGTTTATAAAAATCCTGGGATTTACCTGGAACCAAGGTCTTTTCAAAGTCAAAATCATCTTTCCACTTCGCCGTAACCTTTTATTGTTACTTTGTTTGTTTTGGGATGCTGGTGGTAGAATCTATGGCTTCACGCATGGTTTCACTATGCAGTTCAGGCTGGCCTTAAACTCACTTTTCCCCTGGCTGTCTTCCAACTCACAGCGATCCTCCTGCTTCATCCTGCCTACTGCTGGGATTACAGGCCGCACAACCGTGCCCTGGGCCAGTCCAGTGATTTTTTTTTTTCTTTTTCCTTTTTATCGGTACCAGGGATCACTCACGACCCCCTGCTTGCAAGGCAGGTGCTTATGCCGCTGAGCTAAATCCCCAGCCCCCAGTCCAGTGATTCTTAAAACAAGAGAAGGGAAGTATAGCTCAGTGATAGTGCTTGCTCTGGGTTTCATCTTCAGTAGTACAAAACAAAACTAATATATTTTAGAGTGCTTTATATTTCCTGTCAGGCTCCATTTGCATGTCAAATCTTCAAAGCCTCTGGTAAGCCCTGAGCTAAGAGATACCCTTAATTCCTTAATGCTGCCAGCAATCTAGTAATTACCTCCCTTTTCTAGAACAAATCAAATGCCTAAGTAACTTGTAACCAAGTGAAGCTGAGAACATGGAAAAAAAAAAGATGAAGCAAAAAACATAGGATTAGTACACTGTTAGGTTTGAAGAGCTTTAAGTAGAGTTTGTGTCCCAGGACCCTTGGCTTGTGATGGAAAATAAGCAGAAACAATAGAAAGAAAAAAAGGAGTGGAGAAGTAAATGGAAAAGAACCAAATTGAGAAGAATCAACATGATAACACTCAAAGTAGTGTGCGTGTGTCTTTTTGAGACAGTCTCACTATACAGTTCAGGCTGGCCTTGGGCTCACTTTGTAGCCCAGGCTGGTCTCAAACTTGCAACAATCCTCCTGCCTCAGCCTCCCAAGTGCTAGGATTACAGGAGTATGCCGCCACACCCTGGCTAATACTCAAAGTTTGAAGGAACCAAAAGATTAGTAAATCCAAGTTTATCATTTTTATTGTGCCACCAAAATTATCTGTTTTTTTTTTTTTTTTTTGAAACAGGGTCTTGCTATGTAGCTCAGGCTGGCCTTGAACTCATTACACAGTCTAGGCTGGCCTCAAAGAGCAATTCTCTTGTCTCAGCCTCCCAAATGCTGGGATTACAGGAATGTGCCACCACATCTAGCCAAATTCATCATGCCCAGGGGGAGCTGGGCATGGTGGTGCATGCCTATAATCTAGTCTGGAGCTTGAGGCAGGAGGATTGTTGCAAATTTAAGACCAGCCTGGGCTACAAAGTGAGCACAAGGCCAATCTGAGCTACATAATGAGACCCTGTCTCAAAACAAACAAACAAAAAACAATAAATAAACAGATGAGAGTGGGAGAAAACTATAAGAGAAAAGGATGGAAAAAATAATGCTGACTTGTTATATTATGCATGAGGCATTTTATTTGCACTACACTTTTTGTTCAGTCTTGGTAACAATCCTTTGAGGCATTTATTCAGGTCTCAGCTAAACTGTGTGGACACTGAGGATCCCAAAAGTTAAACAATTTCTTGAAAAATTTCACTAGACACTCAAGAATATGGTTATTAGGTTCCAACACTGTTAAGTAAAGGAAGAAAGAAAAAGAGAGAAACAATCTGAGATCTAGTCCTGATTCACCTTAAACTAGCTGTGACAAAAGCCAGTTCTACCACTTCATATTTCGTTTTCCATACCTGGCAGGTGAGATATTAGATGTAAGCCCAAGTCTGGCTCTGATGATGTGTGATGTTTTTTTATTTTTTAACTTTCTTTGTCTTTTTGAGACAGGGTCTAGCTTGCTATGCAATTCAGTCTGGCCTTGAGCTTACTATGTAGCTCAGGCTGGTCCTGAACTTGGAATGATCCTTCTGTCCCCGCCTCCAGAGTGATAGGATTATAGGCATGCACCACCACACATGGCTGATAATATGTGGTTTTAGGACAGAAAGAAAGAAAGGAGCGTGTGAGAGAACAAAAGTACAGAAAGACAATTTAGGGGGCTGGGGATTTAGCTCAGCAGCATAAGTGCCTGCCTTGCAAGCACGAATTTGTGAGTTCGATCCCTGGTACCGGTAAAAACAAAAAACAAAAAACGACAATTTAGAGAAATAAAAGGGATGGGCTAAAGAAATGAGATTATGAAGAGCAGAGAGATATGAGAATGGAATAGAAATAAGAAAATAAGAGAAAAGTGGGAAGAAAAAATAATGATCTCTAAGGGGAGGGTCAGCACTGTGTACTTAAGCAAAGCCTAAGATGTGAAGTCATTTATCCATGTGTTACTGAGTCAAACACATGGTAAAATATTCATTATTAATTTAAGACCTACTATACTGAGCGCCTCTCACTGTTGGTCCTTGTTCTAGCTACTGGGAATACAAACAAAATCCCCATCTTCTCAGTAGTTGTATTTTCAGGTCCTAAATTAGCAAGTATATAAATAGGAAAGTAAACACAAATAAAAAGGGAAACAGGAATGCAGGAAACAGCTGCTATTTTATACGTAGTACTAAAAAGGCCTTCACTGGTAATGTGGCTGTGGGATTACACCTGGCCTGATCCAACTGAGTGAACAAGTCGCAGTTTCTATTTGGAAAGTGTTGCAGACAAAGCCAACTGTACAACTGCATGCAAAGTTCACAGGTGGAAACATGAGAGGCCTGTGCAGCTGGAACAGAGTGAGCAGAGAGAAGGAAAGGTAGTCAGACCACATCAGAAATGGTAGGACTTTGCTCTTCTTTGAGTGGGACTGCAGCTGATGGAGCACTTCGGCAGAAGAGTGATTAATTTGATCCACATGTTTACAACAGGAGGATGGCTGGACCTGGTCATGCATGCCTGTAATCCCAGCATGCATGAGATAGGAGGATTGCTGGGAGTCCAAGGCCAGCCTGGGCTACATAGTCCAATGCCAACCTGATGAACAAATAAAATCATGTTTTGAAACCATGACTTGAAATAAAATATGATGATAGCTGCATGGACAGAAGCTCAGCCACCCACCACAGTGATGCTGAAGAGAGATGGTGATGATCTGAACCAAGGTGGGAACCACAGAAATGAAGAGGATTGGATTTTTTTTTAATGTTGAGACAGGGTCTTCTTAATTTGCTAAGTTACCTAGGCTGGGCTTTAACTTGAGATCTTCCTAGTGCATGATTCTAAATTTAATTTAAAAGAAGAATAAACCAAACTTGCAAGTACATTAGATGTGAGGTGTGGAAGGATTATGAATGACATCATAATGACAAGAAGTACCAAACCTTCTAAGTGAAGATCATCTCAATTTTATATATACTTTTCCAGAACAGGAGAAGTTGGAACACTCCTCAATCTATGTGACCAGAATTGCTTGAATAAACACAACGGTTAATCTAGTATTGAATACAGGCAATACTAGACAAGAAAATAATATGCCAATCTCAATAACAGAGACATAGAAATCTTCAACAGCATTTTAGTAAACTGAATCCAGAAGCATGCAAAAAAGAGATTATATCAGACTAACTTGAATTTATCCCAGGGTTTTTTTTTTTTTTTTTTTTTTTTTTGGTCTTTTTGAGACAAGGTCTCCCTACACAATTCAGATTGGTCTTGAACTCACTTTGTAGCCCAGGCTGGCCTTGAACTTGCAACAATCCTGCTGCCTCAGCCTCCTGAGTTCTGGGATTACAGGTGTGTGCCTCCATACCTGGCACTTATCCCACAAATTTAAGAGGAGTTTAATGTTTGAAAATACATTCACTTTATTCTTCAAAATGAATTATGCCATGGAGTAGACAGAAAAAGAAACAAAAGCTGTTTTACCATTTACAAAAATATGAAAGTATGTATAGAAAATTTAAAAGAACCTACAAAAAAGAACATATATATATATATATATATATATTTTTTTTTTTTTTTTTTTTTTTTTTTTTAAACCGGTACCAGGGATCGAACACTCAGGACCACACGCTTACAAGGGAGGCGCTTATGCCGCTGAGCTAAATCCCCAGCCCCTAACCTACAAATATGTTATAAGAACAAATAAACAAATTTAATGAGGTTGCTAGATGAAAGTATGCAAAAATCAATTACAAACTGGGGAAACTGGTCTGTAACCCTAGCACTGAGTTACACTGCATCAGGAAGATCACAAATTTGAACCCAGCCTGGACAATTCAGTGAGCAATTTAGTGAGACCCTGTCTCAAAGAAAAAAAAAACCAAAAGGTTGGCACCTTGGCATGGTGGTGTACACCTGGGGTCCCAGCACTTGGGAGGCTGGAGCAGAAGGCTTGTTTCAAGTTTGAGGCCAATTTGAAATACAGAGTAAGACCTTGTGTCAAAAACAAAACAAATATCTTATAATCCCAGTACGTGGAAGGCTAAGACAGGAGGATTGTAAATTTGAGGCCAGCCTAAGCAATTCAGCAATTGAGACCTTGACTCAAAAAAAAAAAATTAAAAATAAATAAATAAAATAAAATAAAATAGGCTGAAGATATAGCAATGTGAAGATCCTGGCTTCAACCCCCAGTATCAATCAATCAATCAATGAACAAACAAATTGAAAGATCATGTTTATAGATTAGAAAATTCAATATAATGAGGAAGTCAGTTCTCCCTAAAGTGATTTATAGACTGACTCAATACAATACTAATCAAAATCCCTACAAGGTTTACTGATGAATGTATGAAACTGACAAACTGATTCCAAAATGTACAGGGAAATGCAGAAGGCCAAGAATACCTCTCAAAGAGGAATGAGTGGAAAGACTTGCTTTACCAGATCCCTAGACATAATTACAAAGCCATAATGATTAACACAGTAGATAGAGCTGGAGCTGTCTGGTAACTC